ATACTTCCCTTTTCATATCGAATACATACTTGTTTTGATTCTCCGTATAAGATTTCGATGTGCACAGATGCTCGTTCGCAGGTGGTGTTTTGTTATTCCTAGTGTAAAATGTTATGACCTGAACATTTGGTTTCCATACGGTAATACAGTCGTTCAATGGTCAGATATGACATTATTAGGCTGCGAAAGTTCTTTTTAGAAAAAGAGAATGACCAGAAGATCTTTTTGAATTTTTCCCAGAACGATTGTTGTTGTGAAAATGTTGTTCTGCGCTTACGCATATATATGATGTTAGAAAATCGGGCGACCATCCATTAGAAGGCTGCAAGCACTGAATATTGCTTTTGTGAAAGGAAACGAAAACATTTCAGCGGCGGAAAGCATCCATAGAATTTCTTGTTATGGTCTCAGATGTTTGCAACAGTGTTAAGAAACACTTTTGTGTTCTAACATCATGGTAGATGCGGTGTAGTTGTTCTTAACATTAGTATACGAAATCACCTTCATATGTTGTCCTTACGGTCAATTCATTGCAAGTAAAGAATCAAGAAAAACTGCCTATTTAGCGCCATATATTACTAATACATTTCTTTTCATATTGCACTACATAATAGGTGTGTGTTTGAATGTCACATCAAATTTATACTAGGACCAGGGACGTTTTCAGCAGTTGCCATTCATCTTTTTAATTTACCATTACTTATAAAGTAAGCAGGAAAGCGAAGCAAAGCTTGCACCTCCACTTGAAACTCAGCACGCACACATCTTTCCGAGCCATTTTGTAGAGTAAATGAAGTAATGAACATCTGACTTTGTCATGTGATGTATGTACTAGCGCATGGCTGATCTTATGAGGTAACTTTTACGAAACCACCTTAAATAGCCTGCGGAGGTGACTGAAAAGTACATTGAATCTATAGAACAGCGCTACAATAACCGCAGACTCTCTAAATCCACATTATAGCAAATATGGGATTGCAACTAATTCAAAATATAAATTTAAGTAGGATACATCTGATGTAATTGGGATTCATCATGAAAATTTATTTGAAATTGCTATGGATTACAATGAATTTAGCGTAATTCTCTTTATAAAACTCGCAGAAATGCCAAACTTTTGTTATTGCTCGCTGTGCCCTCATAGGTTCTATTAAAAAGCCTGAACTGTCGTAGACTGTCATATTACTAAGACTGAAACCAAAGCTTTGCTCTCCAGTCGTCAGGATTAAAATGCTTTAGGTCCTTATAATAAGTAGTTAAATCTTACATACGATCTTGTTTTCAGATCATGCGGAA